TAATGACAACAATCTGGGGTATCACAGTCCCCTTCATTGCCAACATTCTCACATTTTCCGACTCAAAACCCCAAAACGACATGTGCTATTATTCACTCACAGTTTTGAGTAGGCAGCTGGCCTTTTGCACATCTTACCTTTGACTCGCTTAATTTCGGTCTTCATCAAAAAGCCCGCGGAAACAGTGCACAGACGACAAAATAGTTCGCTTTCATTCTAGAGATGTTATGAGCTGAAATCATTAGGAATCTCCTGACTACTTCGGATACCATGCAGGGATCAATATGATTTAAAGCGTACCCAATAAAGCAGTCATCAGTTCTAATTTGACCATTTCAGTTTCAGACGGCCACGTCTAGGTCAGAACTATCCTGGTATGTCGCTCACTTTTGGGAGACTATAATTATACTAGTCTTTCTGCCATCTGTATCCCGAGCATGCGTGAACAAGTGATGCGACAAACGCTGAAGACATGACCGACAATTCGGCCGTTGATTTCTACGAAGTCCACAATGCGCGCCACAACAGGTTGATAGCAGAGACGGCGACTTGCGCGTGAATTAGTTTGTAGCGACAGTGGACTTGAGCATCATCTGCCCCAATCTCTTCTCCTCTCCCACTTGGATTCCTTTTCATGACCACGTCAAGAAGACCGGAGGCGGTAGAGGCGGCCGGTAGTTGGTACCGCGTAAACTCACGCCTAGGCGCACCACCACACCCCTGGTCTACAACAAACACTCGACCAGCATTTTAGATAGCAACAAATACGGGGGGCACCTCGGATCCCAATTGGCGCAGAGTAAACCGCCAAATCGGTCTGTCACCACATCCCACTTTTCGCATTTCATATGGATGCGCATGCCCGGTAACGCCTTCCGGACCCCGATTTAGCTCCTTTGTTGGTTCAGCGCATCTCTTACGTGGTTAAGAAAAGGAGGCAGTCGCCATTTTCTCTCACCTGATATTTAAACAAAGTAGGCAAATAAGTCAATGACTTGGCTCAATGATTTGGTTAGGATGTAGTCCAAACTAGGAAGGCACACCCCGACTAAGTAGCAGAAATTTAGATGGCAACCACGTACGTCATGGATAATTAGGCGCCCGCCACTCAGTAAGAGTAGCAATCAAATATTTTGGCGACCATTTGAAAAGTCATAATCCTATGAGTGGTCGCTAAGAAACACCTTGAAATTAGACGACGTCTAAAATCTGATATACGCACAATATTGATTATGATGAAAAAATTTAAAAATATTGCGACAACTCAAGTGTTAAAAGCGTCGCAATATGTGCACAAACTTTAGAATTGTACAGAAACCAATTACCGGAGACGACATGGGTAACATCCAATTGGCAGTCAAAGTTTCCGTTAAAATATGATCGCGCGCTTTCCTGTGTGAAAAGACTGTGGCATCGGAAAAAGTAGGCAGATAGGCGCTCAGTGCGCAACCGACCGACTAATATGACAGTATACTAAACTTTATTACAAGTTCTCGATCTTAGGTAACTATTCACCCGTTTACGTGAACCAATGTCGTTATCTAACTCTATATGAATTCAGTTTATAATGCAACCTCCTGGACGAGGTAGGATAATATCTTGACCATCTACGCAGTCATGTTAAATCCAAGTAGACAACATTCGCGCTTTGTGGTCTAACATTTGCAATTGTACAACTTACAGTGGTTTGGAATTTGGTCTTCACTATCTTCTTACAAAATGTTGCTTCCGGTCGATAGATAATGTCATTGGTAGAGGGCGCTCACCGATCGTTCTTACGGAACTCACTTGTTCCGTTGTGCCTTACGGGCTCTCTCTCGAGCCAAACCAACAGCCGCACAGCGGCGCATGATATAGGCCGAATGGCATTACCGACAAAGACAACGGAGAATGGAATGGCCATTTCTGGATTGTAAGCCGTCTTCAGCCTGTCATACCCAACCCCGAAGTGTGAAACACCCGAGGCTCGAACTCGGTGAGCGCTCCCCACCATTGTATATTCTCGATCGAAACTGACAGGGCAACGGGCTCGTGGCCCAGCGGTTCAGGCGTGGACTTCGAACTAGCAGGTCGCGAGTTCGAGCCTCGAGTGTGTTACACATCGGGGTTGGGTATGACTGGCTGACGACGGCTGATAAGCCAGAAATGGCCATTCCAGTGTCCCCTGTCTTTGTCGGTAATAACATATTGCAGAAAATATCATATTTAACTCTTCAACTCTAGGATTTGTTGCGCCAGAAACGTCGCTGATGTGTGATAGCCAACGCCATGATTTGGATGGGCTCACTAACGGACGAGTATTTGGTTAATGCTTTATGAAGTCTTGCAGATAGCCGTTTACTGATTACTAACAGTTATGATATTGAGGCTTTCTCATCTGTCCCTTACGGTCGCTCCCAAGCTTTTGCAACTTGAGAGAGACTTCTAAAATGCATTCGTTTGTTTGACTACTGGAGATCACTGAAGTGGCTCAGTATTAATGTCGTTTTTGGTTTATATGGGCTACGGTTCGGTTTGGAACTCGTCAACTAACGTCTGCCGGATGAGATGTCTCTATTGCTTGTTAGTTATGCATATCGTAAAAACGTCGGCATTTTGGCGCAAAGTTTACAACAGTTGTCGGTAAGATGTCAACGCACCAAAATTCAGATGGCTGTAGATGTCCTTTATAACTGATATTATTATTGTATGTACTTAAAGAATATTCTAAGTTATAGAACCTTTTATGTGTAAATAACACGCGAAGATTATAAACTGGACCAGTTTCAGTAGCGACATATAAAAAAATTACAGATATTTTGATTGGTTCTCCGAATTAAAGATCGTTTGAATCATTGGTTTCGCAAGAGCTGCCCGCAAACATTTTCGAGATGACAATTTTGTCCTTAGAAAACCCCAGAATGTTGCAAAAGTACACCGTTAGGTTTAAAAAATAGGATAAATGATGTTCATAATAAGATGGACTTTCCATGGTTTGACAAAGGAGCAGAAGGTACAGTGCTACAGTGCGTGCATGTAATTGTTTGTTAGATCTACTTGGAGCCTCCTATTATCATCCAAAAAATACGAAGTATACCCTGTATCAGTGTTAAAACTGTGTCCTAACTGCACAAATCGAAATTTAAAAAATTTGCCGGCATGAACATGGCTACGATGAGCAGCCAAAACCTGCTATCAAGCTGCGTTAAAAGCAAGTCTCAAAGGACAATATCATCGAACACATCTCCTACTGTTGATTTGTACGCCCAAATAAAATCGGGCAAGTGTCTCCTAAATAACAACAATTTTAATGCTGCCTTTCAAACCCATATGTTATAAAGCTCTCGAAAAAGCCAAATAAGGCTAGGAATTATTTGAATACTTCGGAGTAACGCGTGACTTGCTACTGGGTGAAGGAAGCTTAATTGGTCAACTATGATTTTTAGGAACGTTTAGCTGGAACGGACCTCATTTAACAAGAACTTTCTTAAAATACTGTTCTGCGCCACGATGAAGATATATGTTATCTACAATCTGTAGTAGGCTCCTACACTTTCCCTATTCCTGGGCAAAAACTTATGTTTCTTTAACATGTACATTTGACAGTCTCGCGTCCCGCCTAGAAACAGTTTCTGTGGGGAAACCTCTGGGCTCATATTATCACAGGTCTTCAAAAATTATTTAAGCAACTGCTGCTTGTACGAAATGATACGTCTAACCCCTCTATTTTAGTCACGGCAGATGCATAGTTTGTTAATAAAATATTCTGGTAATGTAGGAATTGTAGTCTCTTGATCAAATCCCTGTCAACGGATACAGACTTTGGGCCATCGCAGGTTACTAAATTCAAGCTTTTGAAATAGGAACTAGATGATGACAGTTAGAGATTTGGGAAATGAGGCAGCAAGCGGATGAACTTTATAGCTTACAATTTGGATAGATACACAATAAACGCGTGATAATTATCGAAACCAACTCGCTTTCGCGAACTAATCCTCGCAAAATTGTACTCCTTGTATTACTTTACAGTGGCTAAGTAGCTTAGTCGTTTGTCATGCCTGTCATAACCATAACAAACTTGAACCGATTTTTCCCTAAAACGTGAATAACAGATTTCACCAAGCGCATTGACTGTTACTTTGCACCGCTCCCGAAAACATCTTTGCTAGAATTGTTGGGAGTTTTCTCAGAAGGTTGAGGACTTGCTGTGACGCCTTCAGTTATTTTACAGTCATAAGTTTTCAGGGTCTTCCTGGTCTTTTCGAAAAGGTTTGAGCATGCAGAGCTCCTGACTTGAGCACAAAGCTTAACGTTGAGGGAATGCAGTCACTTATGAGCCAGGGGACCGAAGCTTGAAATACTAATTCCCGTTGCATTTTATTCCACATAGTTTTTATTGTCCAAGTCAAACACTGTGCGCTGTTTGCCTGTTATACTGCAATATAGACCATTTCAGGTTCATGAACAACATAGTACTCACGTGTGCTTATTTTAGTAGTAAGAACTTTATGGGGATGTGCTGTGGCAGCATTGATGACGAAACACTCTAAACATTATGCAGGTTATTTTACATGCTCTAAATTGCTTTCAGATGTAATAAGCAACAGTTTGATTATATAAAAATGAACTTTTGATTTAATGGAGATAATACCTTTCCAAGCTGTCCCCATAATTTATTGATGTAAGTAATTTATGCAGAAGACCTTTAAGCGTAATAACACTACAAGCCGTAAGGAACCTATACAAATAAGTAAAAACGTAAGACAAAAGATTTCGTTCCAAAAATCTCTGAAAATAAAACGGGACAAGTTAATAGTGGAGAGTTTGACACTCCCCTATGAAGAAATTAATGTGTTCATGACAGTATATACAAGTGTCCTTCATGATGAATGTCATGTAATGTCTTTATGTCATGTTCTGTCAGGTCTAGGCGAAAACAAAGACCGGTTATTCGTGTATAAAAATCATTGTCGATGAGCTGATCAGTGGGTCATACTGTTATATGACAAAGACACTTGGCTTTAAGGTGAAGAATCGTCTGAAACAACGGCTGCGATCGCCGCGGCTCCTTTTCCACTACCGTCTTCAGAAAGCCGAAGGCGAAACTATAACAGAAGGAAAAAATCAAATAATATCCAATAATGCAATTGTTTCGGAGAATACAAGCAAAAACTAAAAATGTTATAAAACCTCGTTTTTACCCGAATTGATGGAGGTAAAAGTTTGTCAAGGATATCAGTCATTCGTTCGCGAAAGCGAGGATGAAGTTTGTAGAGAGAACCGTCGATACCAATAGACACTTCCGGCCTTTTTATGTGCTCAAGGACAGCTGCGATACCTGTAATTATAAAAACCCCATACATACGGTCAGTTTTATACATTTGGAATGCATATTCCAAAGTCAAGCGCCTGAACCGACATCTCAAGTCAAATTTGACGTCTTACTCGGCAAAGGTACTACAAAACATACCTGCACCAGTCAGATGTGCGGCTCTTCTGCCTACAATCTCGCAAACATAGCGCACTATTCGACAGTCCTGTAGAGAGACCGAGGGAATCAATAAATCTTCCGTCAGCATGTACAGGGTACTGTACAGCAAATGCGGCGGGTCACTAAAAGGCGATTTTAACATAAGCAGTTGTAAGTACATACTGTAAAAATGAAATGACCATCACTAAGCTAAAAACAGTGAAGCATACAAATAAGCATGACATAAATAACTTCATAAATTACCGTTCGGTCTCGCTGATGTATTTTGTATGGAAGCTTTCACTTTTGCGAAGTCGGTCAGGGAGTACTCCATCAAATAAATAACCCTTCTCGACCAGCAGCAAAAGTATCTGCCGAACCAATTCGCCTAGGTACATGCCGGAACACATCTTTTCAAATCTAAAATCATAAAAATAGTCGTATATAAAAAACAATTAATAGATTACTTCATAAAACTAACGGCTACGACTGTAAGGAAACTAACATCTGTTTTCCTGGAAAGATACTTTCCTTGTCCACTGCTTCATCAAACTGTGTACGGTAGTAATCCAGCTCCCCGGATTCCCCAAAAGCACCCCATTCCATATTAATGACGACACTTTTAACAGACTTATATTCTTCATCGTTTAATTCTCCGCTCATTCGTCTCGCAGTTATAAGTTCAACTCTATTGATATCCTCGAGATAAGCCGCATTTGAACCGGTGCCTACAACAGTGGACAGAAACAGAGGTTAAGTTTGTCATATATGTATCCTGAAATGTGCCTACAATATTTTATACGTAGAGTGATTATAGAGGTTAACCATTAGACAAACCCACATAGAAATACGGTTAGTTAGAGGACAATTGTCATGTTTCCGTTAGATCGAACATAGCATCAGGCGCAATGCAACATACCAACAATTAGTCCAACGGCGCAACGCCGATCTTCGAGGGCACAGGCGGCAAGGGTCCCGACGGTATCGTTGACAACAGCAACGCACTTAACATGCGCGCCCTTTAAAAGAATAGATCAACATTGTTGACTAATTGCATATAATAAGCCCGATAAACTACATTTTTTATTTAAGAGCAATCAAATACCGAAAACGTCAAAAGCTGATGGTCAAAAATATTTGGCTAAAATTAAATCTAGTACAGAATAACTGACGTAGGCGTGTTAACAAGCAAAGATTTTATTTCGGAATATTGCCAGCATCTTTTCATAGAAAACCCCTGCCAGGCAGTATTGCGCCTATTCTACTGTATGAAACGTAAAATGCTTCACAGAGCCACTTAGAAGGAATGGCCCGGCATGGGCGTAGGAAAGTCAAGTTACAACGTACGGTCTTATCAATAGAACTCTGCAGTAAATCTGAGACATTCCGTCCGACAACACCGGAAGCAGAAAAGCCCTTGGTCCATTTAACAAGGTAGGACGCATTTAGTCCAGCCTGTTCGCAGGGAAAAGAGTAGGTGAATCCCAAATAAAATTGTTTGTCCAAGAGACCTCTCAGTCTGAGGAATTCATGAAGATTCATAGCGAGGTAGTCGAAGAGCTACAACATGTGTTTAAGACTTCACAACAAACCTCTGCGCCCGTCCCACACATTTTTTCAACCGGGATAGAGTGCGTCCGCTGCTCCACAATAGGTGGCTCTAGTTTGCCTGACAGTGTAACGAGGCAAACCCGGAAGTTTGTGCCACCAAGATCCAATGCAAGGTACTGTCCAGTTTCTAAACTTTTTAAATACGTTTCTACGAAGCTCACCTTTTCCGGTTGGCATCCTAGTTACGTACGATGGATACATCTTGACAGATGACTTGTCCCTGCGATTCAATTTCAAACCAGAACGGAGGGCTGCGAGTAGAGCATTTTTGATATCTCGGTAGTCTTCAATTGATAGTTCAAAGTCCTTCATGACATCTTGAACGCCTTTTAGCACAGCAATATCCACTTCTGGAGCATTCATCATGATAGAAAACGAGTTCCAAATTCAGTGTCATTTCAAAGCCGGGATACGATATATATTTTCGTGATGTCTCAAGGTCGAACTTTGCCAAGTGTGGTTTGATAAAACAAACAGCATGGTTAAATTCAACCAAGTTATAGTCTGAGAAGAGGATGTACTCTTAAATCCACAAAATTTCAATCGTATGACGTCCCTCTGCAACAGTCTGTCTGCACAATGCAAAGTGGGCAGGAACCAATGAGTGCAACCTCACAGGACATCTCCCAGTGAATGAACCGAACCCTAATTTCCCCTGTGCAACACCAGAGGTTCTTGCATAAACTAAAAAATAGGGATCGGTGGTAACTTCCTTAAATGGATTGAAGACTTCCTTTTCGATCGACACCAGGTTGTGTGCATCGGTTGAGGGAAACCAGATTTTGCCATGATCGAGAGTGGTATCCCCCAGGGATCAGTATGGGGAAACATTTTGTTCCTAACATACGTGGACGATGCTGCAAGAGCTTAAGACTGAGAAGTAGCAATGATGTCCGATGAAATGAAGATATGGAGCGTAATTTGGGATCCTGCCGACGAAGACAGACTGAAGTTAAACCTAAATCGTTTGGAGGAGAGGTCAAACCGTTGGCTCCTGCGGTTCAACGTTGGTAAATGTAGCATACTTTACCTAGAAAACACAACCACATCAGCCAGCACAAGAGACTACTTTCTAGACGTTGCAGTGCTACGAGAGGTCGAAGCCCAAAAGGACCTCAGTGTGCTGACGACGAGTTCCCTAAAACCATCCGCCTAATGTTCGATAGTGGCAAAAAGCGCAATGTCAACACTGTACGCCATCAAGCGTGCGTTTATGGACTTTGACGAAGATGTTTTCTCTAAGACATTCGGAGTATTCATCCGGCCGCATTTGGAGTACGGCATACAAGCCTGGAGACCGTGGGTGGTTGAGAATCAAAACTTCCTCGAAAGAGTTCAGAGGAGAGCCACGAAGATGCTTAGGGGTCAAAGCTGCTTTCCTTATGCAGTGTGCCTAGTAAGTCTGAACCTCTTCCCTTTGAGTTACAAGCAACTTCGCGGGGATCTCTTGCAAGTATTCCGCAACCTAAAGGGGTTGGATAGCAGCCTGAACTTCGAGGGCTTTTCTGAATTTGCTACCCCCACCATCATTCGAGGTCACCCTTTAAAACTGCGAACCTAGCAGGCACGGCTGGATGAGCGGAAGTTCTCCTTCACTGTTCGAGTGGACAAACCATGAAATGTCCTTTCCTCAGACGTTGTGATGTCACCATCAATTGACATTTTTAGGAAGGATCTTGACATTTATATTTTCCGAAATAACGAAGAGCGATGAGAAGTAGAGCTCACCCCCGATAACTCGCCCCCATTTTGTCCTACCATTATGAGCTTCTTTAAACTATTTCAGCCCAGAACATTTTCCTGTATACTACACATTTTTTGCGTTGCAAATAGGGTACTCAAAGGCTTACTTCTATTTCCTTTAATAAACTGAACTGAACTTGTCTGAATTCGCTGCCGCATGCAAGCTGGGATGTTTTCATTCAGATTTAGCGTGGAACAGACAGGGCTGTGTATGCGGAAGTCAACCTTCTCTATCGAAGAGGGAACAGATGGAACGCTCCGCCTATGATAATTGCGAGATCACCGTCAGTGAAATACTTCTAAAACAACTATGGCATATTTCTGCTTCAAAATCACGCCGGCAGGCGGCGATTTAACACCTCCCTTGGAATTCGCAATCAAACTTTCAGTGATATTATCCCACCTTTCTCAACACGTATAACTTCTCTTTACACGCTCCTATATGTTGCGTTGTATATAGGATACCAAAACGCCCAAGCCAAGATAAGTGTGTAGAACACTGACAGTCAGGTCGTTACTCAGCCTGCAGGATCGATAAGCAGTTAAACTCTTCCGAAAGATGACAACCGCGTGAGACGTAAGCCTCTTAGTCTACGTTGCGCTATCTTGCGGTACATTACCAAATCCAATTACATACGCCCAAACCCTTATTGAGCGCTAGCAATTGTCTACTCAGAGCACTTGGCCGGTCAGGGAGCGCGTAAATAAGCACTAAACCCAGTAATAATCACGATGAGTTAGGTTAACGGGGTGTTTATTACGTCAATAGCCAATATTGACGGTGAAAACGTGGTCATCAGCGATTAGTTCACTTCAGTTCATTTTTATTGAGGGAAATAATGGTTTTCGTCTTTGGACTTCCTATTTGTTTACAAAAAGCAAAAAATCTCAGAAACTGGAAAATGTATCATAAAGATAACGGGCAATCGGAAAAGCGTCGACCATGCACAGGTAAACAGACTCTCTCGAATGCCAGTGGTACGAGCAGTAGTACAGTGGTCGTTTCGCGTGGACGGAAATAAATAATACCCCTAGTGACAAAAGTCGGAAAGGTGCATGCCAGTAAGCGTAGGCGATGGGTTGGAGACAATAATAAATTCTATTTAAAGTGTAACTGCCCGTAACTGCCTGTAACTCAAGGGAAACAGATCAAGGTTAGCTAGCCGCGTTGCATATGGCAGTGAACCCTATCCTGTCACAAGTTTTGTTACTGGCCTTTAAATCCTTTCGAGGATGCTGGGGTCCTTCGCGGTCCAATCTCTCCAAGGTTGGATAGCAGATTCCAACTGCGACCGCAAAAACGTTCGAACGACGTTAGCGAAGCAGTCTTCATTAACGGCAGAGAAAGCCCGCTTGTCATGGTAGAAAACTTACGCTGCAGACTTGGCTACCTTCGTACAATGCAGCAAGACTTTGAGCGAGGTCATAATCCATATCCCTAAGTTCTTCTGTGAGTCCACTGCTTGCAGTGGTATACCATTCAGGCAGTAAGTCATGTGGTTCGGAGAGCGGGCTCTGCCGACTCGTAGAATATTGCATTTTTTCTCATTGAACGGCAAAAGTCAGTCCTTCGACCACTGTTGGAGTCGGTCTTGGTTCGCCTGCAAATGCTGTTCGTCTTCGGCAGTTCGAATAACACTCCAGAGCTTAATATCATCCGCAAATATGGTGACACCACAGTACAGTTCACTAGCGCAATCGTTGACGTAAATAATGAACAGACTAGAACCAAGAACTAAGCTCTGGGGAACACCGCTTTCAACGTCTATCTCCGTGGACTGCTGGCCACCGACATGAACAATTTGCTAACGGTCAAATAAGGAGCTTTAAATCAATTATAAGAGGTTAACCCAACGCCTATTCGGCTCAGTTTGTGCAGCAGTCGGTGAACAGTAAATCAAGTTTCTTACGCACGGCCTGCTGCTACGGAACCCATGCTGCGCATCAGATAATAGATTATGCTGCTCAATCAAGCGCATTAGCTCTCGCTTACTTATGTTTTCCATAGTTTTGCAGCAGAAGAAGGTGAAGCTTATTGGTCTGTAATTGCTTGAAGAGGCCCTGCTGCCTCCTTTATACAGCGGTATGATCTGCGCAGATTTCCAGTCGGCGAGTAAACAGCCGGCTTCGAACGAGGCTTGAAAAAGCATGGACAATGGTTTGGTTAGTTCAACAACGAGCTCCTTCAGTAACTTAGGAGACATGTCATCTGGATCCGGTGATTTCGAATCATTTAGCGTCATTAGCTCTTTGAGAACAGTCGCTTCATCAAAAGATCCTCTGTGGTTACGTAGATTACAAAAGGGACTATTTTCGTTATTTAAACTAATATAATCACACATTTAACTCACTCACCTCTTCAAGACATCATGCTTACCCCCGACGTAACGGTCATCTTGAGGTCTTTTTATTTCCTCCTCTGACATGTACTGTTAAATATCGTAGGTTGTTTTCTATAAATGCAATTGCTATTTGAAATAAACTACCCAAGAATGTAAAAAATCTGAAAAATCGTCCTTTATTTAAGAGAAATATTTATCGATTTTTGCATTCCGAAAAGCTCCCACAAATTTTGGGTGCTGAATCCCCTGATCGACTCTACCGTAGCGATGGCGTTTGTGGTCTCTGAACACTATGGCCGGTCTCACCAGGGACAATTTCTTTGGCCAAAAGCCATAGCTGTTCTTCGGCGCTTCTGGGTGGACTAACCCTAACTTCATGAAAGAAATTGGCGACTGATAATATCCGATACCGTGCAACTCCTCCCTTCTTGACAGTCGAAAGCTTGTCGCTAGCAGTTTTTTTCTCCTGAACCCTCCAACTCATAAAACCACCACCAACTATATCTTTATTCCTTTTCCACAGGAGTTTTTTTTCACTGCTGGCCGCATTTGTGTTAAACGCTTCCCTGACAATGCTTGTAAACTGGCATTAAATAAAATTATTATTAGTATTATTATTAGCTTACAGCCTCAGTTTTTGAACCCTCATCGAAGTCGCAGTCGGGAGTAGTAAATGCGGTTTCACTCGTAAAGATAGATTTAAAAATTGTGAAAGGTGTACAGCTTTTTCTCCATGTTCACTAACCTCTAGGATTCCGTTTGTCTTTAGGGGGAAATTGGATCTCTATTTCGTGTGCTGCTTCTTATGCAGCTGTAGAATAATTTCGGATATTCAACAGCACGATTCAATAGATCTTTTTCAAAATCTTGTCGTATCCTGGGGGTAAGTCGCTTGACTAAGTTCCTCTGTACTTTGTATGCGTTTATGGATACAGAATTCCCATCAGTGAGAGATTTCTGCCACAATGTCCGCTTTTTATTTACTTCCTTTTTAAACGCCTGAGTCAGCCACCGGGGTCAACTGTTTTGCAACTTCCGAGAAAGCTTACAGTGGTTTGTCAGGAGGACATACTGAACCATTTCCAATCCACAATTATATTTCCGAAAAAGTTGATTCCCACTTTGTATTGTTGTTTTCGGCCTTAATTTGTTTGAAGTCCCCACGCCAAATATTTATTCTAATTCGGGTGGACTGTTCAGGCACGTAAAAGAGTGAAAAGTCCCAGTGAAGTAAGACGTGGTCGCTTGGACCTTAGGGAGGCAGACATTGCACCTCATCTA